AGCTCCAATACTTTGGCCACCTGATGGGAAGAGCTGACTTATTAAAAAGACCCAGATGCTGGGAAAGATGGAAGGCAGGAGGAGAAAGGGATGACAGAGGATGGGATGGTTGGATGGCATCACCAACTTGATGGACAGGAGTTTGAGCAAGCTCCGGGAGTTGGTAATGGACAGGGAAGCCTAGCGTACTGCAGTCCACAGGGTCGCAGAGTCAGGCCCTACTGAGCAACTGAACTGATACTAAAAGGGAAGGGGGTGTGACTGGTTGTCACAGACTTCCTGGTGCCCACCAGACTCCAGAGAGCATGTGACAACGCTTTGATCTTGTAGCTGTCCATGTAGGTCCTGTCATATGTTCCTGTACACCTCCAAAAGGACAAATGTTATTTCCTGTTCTACAACTTTTTATCTCTGTATGAATGATCTACAACTTTTTATCTTTATGTGAATGAAAAGTGTGTTAATGGCTTTAAAGGTCAAACCTGGGAGGCAGAGCCTTGAGAAAGGGCTATCATGTATATTTCAGGCTCTAGGCAACATTCTTTTAAATCAAGGTACAGAGCCAGCATGACAAAAGCACAAGCAACAGAGCACAAAGGTTAGAACTAAGAGAATAAACCCAAAATGGACTCAGGTTTGCTGTTTTCTGTCACATGAAGACATCACTCCTTTGAGCATCTTATTTATTCAATGAAAGGTTTCCCTGAGCATCTCTATACTGGTAATTCTAGTTCAGGATGTATATTCCACTCAGATCTTCCCTAAGCCCCAGACTGTTATATAACCAGTACTCACTGGACACCTTCACTGAGGTGTCCTAAATTGAAGTCTTCATTCTGCCCCACCTTCCCTCATTTCCCCTTAGTTCATGGTACCATTGTCCTTTCACCTGTTCACCCAAGCCAGAACCCAGAAGTTGGTCTAGTTATTCTCTTTCCTTCACTTTCACATCTCTGTAGTATCTTGGGAGACCCCTCCTGAGAACAATTCTGAGCCAGTTCAGAGGTCAGAGATCTGAGTTGGAGCCCAGGTTTAGATGTGTGTTGGGAAGAAGATAGTTGTTAAATGCCCCAGGAAGAGGGAACAGTTCATTCAAAGGTATAGCTTTGATGATACATGGAGTGTGAGAAGCTGTGTGCCTACTGCATAGAAAACAAGGAGAACAGTGGCAGGTAAGGAACAAATCATGCAGAGATTTGCAGATTGCATTAAGGTTTTTAGACTTGTTCTAAAAGTTATGAGAAGCCATTGAAGGTTTCAAAGCATGTGATACCATGGCTTGACTTATATTTTTTTTCTCTCAACAGTTTATTATGAAAACATTCAAAGAGTGGAGAGGACTGTACAGTGAACACCCATATTGTTGACTTACATAGATTTTACTATTAACATTTTACTCCTGACTTAAATTTTTAAATTACATCACACAGGTAGGTATGCAGGTGTTAAAAAGGAGGAAATTAATTTCTTCATCCTAGGGAGAATACAAAAAAGTTTAGAAACAGTACAGTCTAGCTGATACAATGATTTGGTGTGGTGCTGTTATGTCTGACTCTTTGCAACCCAATGAACTGTAGTCAGCCAAGCTCCTCTGTCCATGAAATTTCCCAGGCAAGAATACTGGAGAGGGTTGCCATTTCCTCCTGTAGGAGATCTTCCTGACCCAGGGATCAAGCCCATGTCTCTCAAGTCTCCTGTATTCCTGGTGGATTATTTACTGCTGAGCCACTAGGAGCTTCCCTGATACTGTGATTAGAAATCATTAAATACACAAAAGCACAAGGGATCATCACAAAATTCCAAGCACAATTATTGGGAAAAAGTATACCAGAGTTGTTTTCTCAGGTACACACTGTATCATTTTAACTTTGAAATGATAAAGTAATATTTTTAAGGTAATATTTTTTTCCATTTATTTTTATTAGTTGGAGGCTAATTACTTTACAATATTGTAGTGGTTTTTGTCATACATTGACATGAATCAGCCATGGATTTACATGTATTCCCCATCCTGATCCCCCCTCCCACCTCCCTCTCTACCCAATTCCTCTGGGTCTTCCCAGTGCACCAGGCCCGAGCACTTGTCTCATGCATCCAGCCTGGGCTGGTGATCTGTTTCACCCTAGATAATATACATGTTTCGATGCTGTTCTCTCCAAACATCCCACCCTCGCCTTCTCCCACAGAATCCAAAATTCTGTTCTGTACATCTGTGTCTCTTTTTCTGTTTTGCATATAGGGTTATCATTACCATCTTTCTAAATTCCATATATATGCGTTAGTATACTGTAATGGTCTTTATCTTTCTGGCTTACTTCACTCTGTATGATGGGCTCCAGTTTCATCCATCTCATTAGAACTGATTCAAATGAATTCTTTTTAATGGCTGAGTAATATTCCATGGTGTAAATGTACCACAGCTTCCTTATCCATTTGTCTGCTGATGGGCATCTAGGTTGCTTCCATGTCCTGGCTATTATAAACAGTGCTGCGATGAACATTGGGGTGCACGTGTCTCTTTCAGATCTGGTTTCCTCAGTGTGTATGCCCAGAAGTGGGATTGCTGGGTCATATGGCAGTTCTAATTCCAGTTTTTTAAGAAATCTCCACACTGTTCTCCATAGCGGCTGTACTAGTTTGCATTCCCACCAACAGTGTAAGAGGGTTCCCTTTTCTCCACATCCTCTCCAGCATTTATTACTTGTAGACTTTTGGATAGCAGCCATTCTGACTGGCGTGTAATGGTACGTCATTGTGGTTTTGATTTGCATTTCTCTGATAATGAGTGATGTTGAGCATCTTTTCATGTGTTTGTTAGCCATCTGTATGTCTTTGGAGAAATGTCTGTTTAGTTCTTTGGCCCATTTTTGATTGGGTAAGGTAATATTTTTTAATTTTTTATAACACGATTTTCTCTTATTAGAACTTGAAATATAGTGTTTAAAGAGATTAAAAACTCCACAAAAGGTAAAAAAAACTCCACTAAAGTGTCTAAGATAATTTGCACTTCATCAGATAAGTGAGTTGATGAAACCCTGACAAATGGTGGCAAGAGGAATGGAGAAAAAAAAGATAAATTTAAAAAATATACGAGAAGTAGAATTAATGAGAAGTGTTAACTAATTAAATGAGGGAAAGAGAGAAGAAAGTTTTAGCAGAGCTGTTTCTAGGGCATATTATTAAAATGCTTATGCTAATTTTTATAAGTCTCTGAAATATCCAGGTAAATATTCCAGTAAGCACCTAGAATTTAAACATGGAACTAAAGGAGGGGGGGGTGTTGAAGTAAATATAGATTTGGAAACCATAATCATATAGGTCCCTGACTTAAGCTATGAAAGCAATGAAGTTGACTCTGAAGAGCATGTAAAAAGAGAGGACAATTGTTACCTTGAGTCATCACCAAATCTCTGGATCTCAGGTACCTTAAGTACTGATGCTGTTCCAGGTGACTATTTTAAATCAAGCAAGAATCAAATTGCCAATTCTTACAACTCAATAAGAAAAAGTAATAGTGGGCAAATTATCTAAACAGACATTTTCCCAAAGAAGATCTACAAATGGCCAATAAACACATGAAAAGATGCTCAACGTTATTCTTAGGGATAGACAAATCAAAACCACAATAGCATACCACTTCACATCCACTTGACTCGGGTATCTGTAATTAAATGGCAGTTCCTTAAAAAGTTAAACAGCATTACCTTCATGACCCAGCAATTACTAGGTATATTCCCCAAAGAACTGAAAACATGTTCATACAAAAACTTGTATCAGAATGTTCCTATTAGCATTATTCATAATAGATAAAAGGTGAAAATCACCCAAAAGTCTACCAACTGATGAATGGATAATTAAAATGTGATACATTTATACAATGGAATATTATTCAGCAATAAAAAGGAATGAAATAACTGATGCATGCTACAGCATGGATGAACCTTGAAAACTTTGTTAAAGAAGCCAGTCACAAAAGACTCCATATTACATATGTGATTCCATTTATAGGAAATATTCAGAATTTGAAAAACTATAGATAAAGTAGATTTTAGATTCCTTAGAACTAGGAGAATTGGTGGGGGGAAGCTGGAGAGAAGATGAAACGTGACTATTAATGACAGGTTTCTTTTTGGGGAGTGATGAACTGGTTCTAAAACTGTGATGGTTGCACAACTCTGTAAATATAAAAACGACTTGAATTGTACATTTTAAATAAGAGTATTGCATGGTATGTGAATTATATCTCAAGAAAACTGTTTTAAAAAATCAAATGGCCCTTTATAGGTATCAGAGTACCTCACCGGCTGGGTACACACACACACACTTTTTTTTTTTTTTTAAAGGAAACAGCAGACAGAGAGATGTCTGAACTTCCAAATCTGAGCTCTTTATCATGCTGTTGGGTGATGGCATAATGTTTACTCCGAGACACCACTACAGTTGTACGTTTAACCAAATCAGTTTGCAAATGTATGTTTAACAATTCTCCCTTGCTAGACCACTAACTTCCTCGGGTTAGGGATCGTGCTTGATTTCAGTGCATCAGGATCTGGTAACGTGATTTGGTACTTGACAGAGGCTCATACGAATGGATTTCAGGTAGGAATGATCCACAACTAACGATAGAAAAAACCTAAGTAATGCACGGAACCCTATATACGAGTATCTGCCCTCTGCCACCAAATAGACACAAAAAATGAATAAAGCGGAAGCAAGAAGGATGGGAGAAAAAGGTGGGTATCTCCTCTCTCCATCCCCCACCTTCCACGACGGTTTCCCTGGAAAATTAGAAAAGGGAGTCAGGTGTGGAGGGTGACATCACTAACCCCCGCGGCGACCACCACAGAAGCTACCCACCGCGCTCACTTTCCCGCCTCAAAGAGACTGGGAGATGGGGTTAGCGCGGCGCGAGGGGTGGGGCTTACGTCACATCCGGCCCGGGACGCGCCACAGCTGGAAAGCGAAGGCCTAACGTCGAGGGGCGGAGCCAAGAAAGCGCGCCCTCTGGAAGGGGGTGGGGCCGGGTTAAAGAGCGCCGCGTCACGTCCGGGAGACTTAGAGCCCAAGCGGAGGCGGCGCGGAGCGTTTCGGCTCTCAACGCATCGGGAACCGGTGTGTAGTGCGAGGCTGCGGCGGAGCCTCTACACTGAAGGCGCGAGAGGTTGGCAGCTTCGATTGAAGCACATCGAGCGGTGACAGCAGTGGAAGTCATGAGCGACAGCGGCGAGCAGAACTACGGCGAGCGGGTAGGTATCGTTGGTGCAGGGGGCGGCTGTGTGGTCCCAGCTTCTTGCATCTCTTTCCAGGCCCATCGGCCTCGGGCCGGGAGACTGGGGCGATTTTGGCTCCGAAGTCTGAGACCGGGAGGGGTGCGAGTCAGGTTAAGAAACCCTGGTAGTATTGTCCTTATCCGTGAAGGAGGCCGCCGGCGGTTTTAGGTTGCCCGGTACTCGAAACGGCGGTTTTTTCCGTTATCGGGAGGGAAAGATTAAAAATGGCCGCTGCGTCCCCTCGGTGGTGGGGGAGGGGAGCGGTATCTCGTTTCGCCGTTGCTCTCCTGCGAAGCCTCGCCGCAGCCATCTTGGGCTGGCGGGCTGGGCGCACTGCCAGAGGCACAAAATGGCGGAGGCGCCGCGCAACGATTTCCAGGCCGCGGTCGGGGAACGTGGGGTGCAAAGAACAGTGTTCTTCAGGGTTTTTGCCCAGCATTTAGGGTAAGACAGGATCATATTTTGGACCCCGAAAAGATGGGAATCTAAGGTGTTTTTGGCTTCTTGAGAGATGGCAAACTAGTCTGACGTAAGTTCTGGGCCCGTTAGAGGGGATTGCGCGCGAGCTTTGTGTTCGGCCTAAATGGCGTGATTTTCTGGGATGCTAAAATCGCTCTTAAACCGCAAATAGTTATCGGTAACCAAGTAGACCACGAGGTCGCTGAGGTTTTCTTGCCGATCGAGTAGATCTTTTTTCCACGGAATAGTGAAGGAGAAATTGGCGGGGAACAATTTTTGGCGCCGTTGTTTCCTTTGTTTTGAGCCATACCTATTTTGTGAACCACGAATTGTGTTTGTGCATTTTTTAAAGTTTCCACCACAAAATGTGGAGTTTGGTGAGGACTGGATAAACTGTAGAAATAATGTTCCCGGGCTTAGAAAAAGCATAATATAAAGCTTGGTTGCGGGTCCATGAGTACTAAGCCGCAGAAATGTCAGTCTTGCTAGAATCTTTTGATCACTGTAAATCTATTCGAATATTTTCGCAAACTTACGAAACAAATTCTAGGTGATTTCATTAGGGCGTTTTTTGAAAGGAGAAATGTTAGCTGTTGAAATCTTAATTTATTGTGTAACTTTGCGGCCAAATCTGATTAATTTGGTTTGAACCAATCAGTCCTCGCCTTTACCTATCCAGCTGAATGTTGGCTTTTTTATCCTAAAGACGGTTAATTTCCAGTCAGCAGTGTGTGTGTGATTATCGTTTTAAGCTCTTTGGTGAGAAAGCTTGGATCTAGCTCACAAGTTGTTAAAACTGTGGGTCCCACTAATCAAGCGTTTGAATTGGTGGGGTTTTTTTTTTTTTTTTTCTGTTAGTAGAATATACATCCTAGTTACCTCACAATCTCGTTACATAGGGTTATTCAACAAACTCTTACGGAGGAAGAGAAAATAATAAAGGTACATGTAACAGATGATGTTCTTAAGCGCTTGGCTTGAAAGAGATCTCTGAACTTCGACGATGTGGAGTACTTCCACATTAATTTCTTTGGCGTTTGTTTTGTCTGTAGATTGCTGTCCAGTTGGTTTATTGGATCCTGAAGTGGTTTGACTAGACTTAAAAAACACTTTGGGACTCCCAAGGAATGCTTGGCAAAACCATAAAGCTCAATGAAATAGTTTAAATGCAATTCTACAAAAGCATTAGGTAGACCAGTCAGGTCTGATTGGCTAAAAACTTCCTTTTGGAAGTGCCTGAAAACAACGGGAAAACTGTTGCGTTCAGGGTAATGATCTTGTTAGCTGCTATGAATAGCGTATCAAGAGCCTGAAAAATTACTTTCATGCCACTCTTAAGCTTTCTGCCATGCGGGAGACCCGGTTCGATCCCTGGGTTGGAAAGATCCCTTAAAGAAGGGAATGGCAACCCACCATGGACAGAGGAGTCTGGCAGGCTACAGTCCATGGGATTGCAGAGAGTCGGACACGATTTAGCAACTCACATAACACTTAAGTTTTCAGACATTACAAATTATTAGTGTAAATCACTAACACCTAATCTAATCAGCCAGTGATAATGGAATAAAATCTTATTAGCTGAGGTCACTCACCACCACCACCACCACCTCGTGGCCCTGCTGTCACTTAAGAAATGTTGTTTTTTTTCCTCCTTTTAGTCCTAACCAGACCGGAGTAGAGGAAGGGGGAGCAATAAATCACCTTCAGTTTGGTTGTTTTTAACGTGTTTACTTACTGGGTGAATATTGCTTTGTGGCTCTTGTGTTCCTTTATTTTAAATGTGCGGTTAGGGTGCATTCCTGAATTTTTGTTGAATACTTTCGGTTACTGCAGACTGTATCTTTCATCGGTATCGGGATTTTTCATGTCTTGGTTAGTAGATTTAAATTTAAATGTTTCTGGTTAGAGCTGACTTCCCTGATCTGGCCAAACCCACGTTAAAGTAAGATATTGCTCGTTCAAATTCAAGTTTTTTCCAGTAATTCCCCAAAATTTCTCATGTTTTTTCGCAGAGAAGTTGGCTAGCACCTTTGGAAAGAAGAGGTGGTCTTAGATCTGTTATGTCAAGATTTGGGAGAATAACTTGATAGGGTCCTGTAGCCAAGTGTAGGGCTGTATGGTAATGGGGAGGGAGGTGATAAATCCTATGGCCTAATTGTGTTCACAGTTTAGGGTGTGGTGAAGTTTGGCCTTGGCACTGGTTTGATGCTCTACCCTCCTAACTGTAACTTCTTTTTATTGTACAATTGGGTCTTGACCTAGAGAAACCAGAAATTAAGGAAGCAGTATTGTATGGACCAAGTCTTTTTAATTTGTCTTGCTGTCAAGATTATGATACATACATCTGGTAGAGTATTGCTTATTTTTGCAAAAGTAATGGGTTTACAATGTAGGTATATTACCTTTAGTCTTCTTTGTAGAGATGAGTAGCATCTGTATACCATCCCATCAAACTCCCTTTCATACTCTGCAGTTTCTCTTCTGCTTAATCTTAGGTTGTCTCTTTGAATTTTTAGTAATTTTCAAAACTGAAACATCTCAATCTTTTTCTTTCCAAAGGGTTGTAGCCATTGCACCAAGTTCCTTAAATAGAGGATTCATGTTGGGTGGGAGGAGATAGTTTTGTTTCAGTTTGAGTCTTGTAAGGCAACAAGTCTCTTGAAACCAAGTTGAATATTTTTGGTGGTTTTAATTAAGAATGATTTGATATTGTGGATATGGTCCGGAATTAGAAGGTGGCACTTTCAAACTGAAAATACAAGTGGTTGCAAGGTAAGTACTGGTTTTGTCGAGATTGAGCAGGAAATCAGATGATGAGAGATAATGTTAAATGGGATTTGCTTTGTACAGCCTTTTCCATTCTTTATCTCCAATAAAATCCCAAACCTAAATGATAAATATTAATATCATAGTTTTTTTACATTTCACCCAAGAGGACAGGGCTACAGCTGTGCATATCTTTTGAGCCTTAGCATGTGTGTTATATTTGTTTGTTTTTTTTTTTTTTTTTTAACACATACTTGTTTTATTTCCTCATAAAATACAGTGATGAGGTGGTGGTTGAAGTTGGGGAATTTTGAGTGTTTTGCTTTTTTGAGGGGTTTGGGTCACACGGAACAGAATTAGGTATTGTCATTTAGTCTTTAAGTGGGGGAGGAATTCTTCATTACAGAAAATTAGTTTTCAAATTCTCAAAAATCTTTGCTTTGAATTGGGTTTTGGAAGTTATATTCTGATTTTTATCAATACGATTGCTGAATATGACAGCATGGATGAAGACTTTTTTGCAGTCATTTTTGTGTTTGGTTAATAGACTTAAAAGTAGTAATAAATTCAGAGTCTACTGTTTTTGCAAGGGATCTTTTAAACATGGGGTTAGAGCTGATTTAAGTTTGTCATGATAGTTTTTTCAGAACATATTCTCAATCTTTGAGGATTTTTCTGTCCAAACTTCTGGAGAGTTTAACTGCAGAAAAGTCCTTAATGTTGCTATGAGCATTGATCTTTATAGCAGAATCAATGAGTTTTCCTTTGCCAGTCCCAGTTTTTAAAATACTACCTAGTCAACCTAATGAGTTTGTACTTATTAATGTGTAAATTCCAGTTATAACCGCTAGAGTGATTTTAACAAAAATTGTGTTGGTGGTGAGACAAATTTCTGCTTGTTTCTAAGTAGAACCTCTTAATATGTGTTTAACATTAGCCCAGTAGTTAGTCTCCTGGTTTTATTAAGTGGCCACCTCAACTTAGTTTGAAGAAATCTAATACTTACATTATATAGCAGCTTATTTTGTTCTTCATATATAAAGAAAATTGGGAAGGGGGTAGTGAAATAACAGTAGGAAGGCATTCATATTGAATAATTGTCATATCTAGAGCTTTGGCCTCTATTCAGCATTTTCTGAACCTAAGCCCTGTATATATATTTAAAGTTTAGGAGGCCTTAAAGGAAACCTGCTTGGGCATTCTGATTCCACGATTACAATTGTGCTGCCAGTAAACATTTCCCATTACATTTTAGTGATGGATATTAAGAGAAAACAATTACTGTGATTCCCTTAATTAAAAAGGTTTTTAATTTTTTTTCCTGGATTAGATAAGCAATAATTGACTTTGAAAAACTAGACTTGAAGGTATGCTTATCCTCTTAGAAAAGACGACATAACACTTCCTTCGTAGCCATGCATGGTTGTCTTTGTGATCAGATAGGTATAAAGGACTTTTTTTTTTTTTCCTTATCCTAAGGAAAGTTTTATTTTCAGGAAAAAACTAGGAGAGGAAATTGATAGTGGAGGATCATAAAGTGTGAAGTACAAGAAAACGAGGATGTTTTAGGAGAGCAATATTTTGTTTAGGATGTTCAATAGACCAACTTACTGATCTTTTAAGTGATATTGAGTCTTTTTAATAATTTCAGGAGGTGAGCTGCAGTTTTATCCACAACATTGCCACCTTTTAAAGTAGGGTTGCTTCTTCGGACTGCAGACGATTTTAATAATCACTGGGGGGCTGGATTTACCAAATATTCTTTGAAAACACCACAGTTGAATTGAGTTTGCTCTGCTTCCTTCACAGCTCCTTGCATACAGTAGTTGGTTGACTTGATATGGTCTTTTTATGCTTTAGTTTTAAGTTAGTAAGTTGGGCCATTCATATTATAAAATCTCACTAGGACAACTTTTTCTAGGGGTGGGTTAAACATTAGTCCACATTTTCAAATTCCCTGACATTGTTTTTCTACAGGCTACTTTTTCAGTTAAAAAGTGTGACATTAAATACATATTTGGCCTTAGTCACAATTTGTAGACCTCTTCAACCCTGAGCCTTGTCATCATTGTGCAAATGAATTGTCCGTGCTTTTCCTTTCTTGCACTTTTGTATTAATGTGTCATTTTTTGACTAGAGATGTGCTTTTGACACTTAACATACTTTCTATTGACGAATACAATAAGAAGTGTGAAATGTAATTATAGTTCTTAATGTTAGATGAACAGTAAATGTTCAGTTGCGCACTTCACATTTCAGCTTAAGCATGATAAATCTACATGGAGTAGACAAATGAGATTATAACTATATTTTAGAACCAGCAGGAAACTAGTTTCAGATTTTTGAGCTGCATATTTTAGTTTTTCTAAAAAATCCAAAGCAAAAGGGATTTTTTTTTTTTCTAGTTTCAGTTTTGGCACTGGCTTTTATCCTGGAGTTTTAAAATATTCTTCATCCTGTTCTTTTTCTATTAAGGTTAATGTTGAAGAAGGAAAATGCGGAAGTCGTCATTTGACAAGTTTTATAAATGAGTATTTGAAGCTCAGGAATAAGTGAAGCTGAAATTTGAAAAAATAAAAGAAAGAATGCATGCTAATTATCAGACCAGAAGTCCCACTTGTAGAATATTGAGCAATTTGTGTGAAGTGGGGAAGATGAAAGAAGTCAGAATTTGAAACGGAAGAATGAAGAAAAGAAATAAAAATGAAGTTAAGATAAGAAGTAATCTGGAATCAGAAAGCACTACGCTAAGTAATTACTAGTCTGTTTATGTGTCCCTGTATATTTTGCTAAACATGCATGCATTATTTGTTTAATAGAAGAAATATATACAGGGTAAAGAAGTGCCTTCCAGGGGAAACGTTTAAATTAGGTAATTTTAATTTTAACTTCTTAGTCAACTGACTGAAATGCAACTTTAAAAAAAATAACCCTTTGTAGTCAAATAGGAGGCAGGAATGAGCTCTCCAATTTGGGTAACAGCCGGCTTCATGTTGTCTCCTGGAATTTTCGTCTCTGACATTGCTGGTCCTGGGGCGTGAGTACTTCCAGAATTGAAGTAGGCGGTCTGTGCCACCCTCTCTGGACTCAATGTACTGACCCCCTATCCTTCAGTACAGATCAGTATAAGTAGAATGTTGTAAGTCTGTCAGTTTTCCTAAAGAATGTTGCCAGGATGGTTATAGAACCGAACCCCCAAAATCCATTGGACAGGATAGTTCCTTTTGGCATTTATGAAAAAATTAAATTTTTTTTAGATGGCAATAGTGGAAAACTATGACCACTTAGGCCCTAACTTTAAGATGCATGTGTGCTAAACTCACAAGATGAGTCTTAATTCTGTTTAATGCTTATTCCAGCTGAATGACTGGTGTTAATGCTAAAAAGTTGTAGGGGCTTCCCTTAGAATGAGATAGGTCGCATAAGTGAACAGGATACCTAACTCAACAGTGGCAGTAACAGTAAGTGTCTTATTCCCTTTTCTCATTTTCTGCTATTAACAACTTAACTGTTAAAATGGTGTGAGAGATAACAGATCATAAAGTAACTTTGTTTCTGGTTCTCTACTCTTAACCACTTACTGTAAAAATAGACCCAAAAGTTCTGTCATTTCCCTTTCTGTATGCTTGTTTTAACTGAATAGAAGAGTCAAATGATTGGTGCAGTGTTGTTACTTTCAGTTGGATGGGGAAAGTTCATGTGTCAAAATAATACCCAGTAGTAGGCAACCAAGAGATAGCTTCTCCCCTATCGGGAAAACCAAGGCTATCACTTCTCCCTGAAATTAAGATAGGCTAAACTTTGAGAGTTTTTGAACCTTAAAACTCTTGGGGCAGTGTCTTAAATGACTTTTTAGACAGATTCATTTTCTGATACTTTAGGGCTGATTTGTGTGAAATTTGTGCTTTTTCAATTCTGTATCTTGCAAGCAGAAGATTACACCCATCTTCTATCATTTGCCCTGATAATTATTTTGTAGAACTTGCCACATATAAACTAATAACATTAAATTGGTAGTGTTAGTTTTGCATTCTGAATTACTTACAGATTAGACTGAGGCAAGTGATGTGAATGGATGTTGTATTTTTATTCAAGCTCATTGATTCTTTTATTAGGAGACCTGAAAAGTCCTTGGGGTCTGAAAGAGAAAGGATCTGTTAGTCATGTAAGGATAAGAAGCAGTTTGGAGTTTGATTATATGGCAAAAGCTGGAAAGATGTAAAGCAAAAGTAAACATTGATGGTAGTGGACCATCTTATCCATTCAGGTTTTTACCCCTCTTTGGCCAAAGCATCTTTGAGTCTGAGAGTGCCTCTCTCCACCTCCTGCCTGGGTAGTAGGGGGAAACTGACTTCTTGCCCTGGGGCAAGTGTAAGGTACATGCCCTCAGGATGGCTGATAAATGACTGGGTGGGGAGGTGGGGTCAGAGAAGGTTACATTAAACAAGGTTTCAGGAAAATGACTGTTGAAAAAACCAGATAAGTAAGAAGCATAAAACTTGAAATTAAGTCAGTGAGACTTAAATAAGCATCACACATATGTATGGTGTTTTTAAGAAATGCAGATGCCCAACTCCAGACCTACTAAAATAAGTTCTAGTTGGGGATCTATTTTTAAATGTTCTGTAGGTTTACTACATATCTGTGAGAGCCTTCGTTGAAAATCTACTTTATTGCATCTAGTTTTTAAAATATGTGAGAAACCTAGCAATTGGATGGTTATTCCTACTTCTTTCATCTCTTTCAAAAAGTTTTATTAAGATTGTCATCCTCAGAATAGGGAGATGCAGGTATTTTGTTGGAAGGCTGAGTTTATTTTTCCCCCGATGTGTTCTCTACTGATTGTATATTAGTACATGACTAAGATTCAGTTTGTAAGAACTTGATTCCATGTGTGGTTTTCAGGGAATTTTTGGTTGTGTCATTCATACTGACTTTACATTTATGATCCTTTTTCTTGAGGTATTGGTGTTGAGAGTAGTGCTTCTTTTGGTAGGGTTTTAATTGTGTTAGCATTGAAGAGTTTTGTGAGCCCTGAAAGTGGTCTTTGAATTTTCTTTGTGTTTAGGGGCTTTTCTAGTTGGTTTTACAGATTTAAACATGGACCAAGGTTTAAAGTTAACTTTATGGTTTTAGATTTGGCCTTCTAAACAGTCTAAATATCCTTGCATATATTTCCAAACTAGCTAATAGCCAACATAACTGCAAAAGGGTTTATTTAACTTTAAGACTATCTCTGATATGAAAGGTAGGAGGTAGAGACAGTGTTTCTGTGTTAGCCTAACAAGTGTCAGTACAAAAGAAGACCTAGTGTCCTAGTGGTTTCTCCTATTCATGGTCTGAGAAATGATTGTTCATAAAATACATCTGCATATAGCCAATTAGTTTTAGAGGTTGAGTGAAAAGTCTTATAATTTCACAAATACTGTTACTTGTGACCCCTGATCTGCTAGAAACCGCATTAAAGTTTATTCTGAGGCTATAAGGACTTTCTTTTCCTTCTTGGTGAACAGATTGGTAATGCACCTCAGCTTAGAATAAGGCTTTTCTGTTTTACTGAAGCAAGAGGCTTAAAAGAGGATCTTGACTTTCTAGTCTTTTTTTAAGATCCCTAGACAGACTGATTTCTGTTAACTATAGTTAATTTATTGGTAATCTTTTAACTCTTATTGTGAGGCACCCATATTCTCTCCCTGCTAGAGCAGATTGTTTTGTTTCCACTAAAGGTCATAATCTTTCCATGAAGTCATCTTTCTAGCATTGGATAAACAAAGGTGTTAGAGACCCTCTTTTTACCTGATCTTCTACATTAGCTTTTGCATGTTGATTGATTGCAGAAACTGCATCCCCAATTTGAGAACCTCTTTATCCAAGGAGAGGAGAATTGTACTTTTAAATGTCCAGAATATTTGCCAGAGACAGTCAAGGGATGGTTAGTTGGGGTCCTCAAAGCCGTAGTGGCTCTTGATGATAAAAGTAACTATTTTCACCAATAATTAGGGGTGTCATCTTTTACTTTGACTCTCTTTAACTCATGGCAGGAGGGAGAGTAGCCATGTTTCTTGCCACTTCACACCATGTTTCATGTGACTTTGAAATTTAGAGTCATTTTGGGTATAGATACTGGAATTTATTTTGCCCACTGACTTACTCTTATCTTGTTCTAAACTTTAAGCCTTGTTTCTTCTGTGTTGCATGTAAGTTTTGTCCTTAAGCATCATAGGAAAGATCTTCCAAATTTTCTGGACTGTGATTTAGATGAATTTCCTACCTTTATCCTTTTAAGAATGGCTGGAGTGTTTTATTCTGAAGGTCTGCCACACAGGGAGGTCTCTTGATAAACTTTTGTGCCACTTCAACACTGATTGTTACCCCTACAGCGACTTAGCCATTTTTATTCTGTGTTGGGCAGGAAGATTCATGAGATTAATGCCTTTAAATTTGATGAAGATGGATAACCTGAAATGTTGTCTTGTTTGATGATACCTTGGTTAGCTGTCAGACTGAGTTAATTGTTGTCTTTTCCACTATTTCTATTTTGGTGTCTTGGTGGAACATCCTTTAGCTTTTTTCTCTAATTATATGTCTTTGGTTCACCAAACTAGTTATCCTGTTTACCCATTTCTTTGCTAGTTCCTTTTAGAGATTTTGTTTTTGTACAACCTACCTACCAGTTAGTCACAGTTATGATAGGGGAAAGCTTAAGTATAAAGTATGTATCTAGACTTTGTTTTTTACATACAGTTCTGAACTTCTCTTCCTGAACCTAGATTAGGAGCCTGTGATCTAAACTGTTTCAGTTTCAATATGTCCTTTTTGTATGTAACTTTTCTAACTGCTTATTCCCAGTTTCCCATCCACTGGCCCTGGCTCATCTACACTTAGCTAAGGAAAATCTCTGGTGCCCTCTTAATTCTTAGTTCTGCAGTTCATTCACTGCCTTTCTGCTGTAGCTTCATCTGGTTGCTTTGAGATCCTTAAGGGCTCCCCACAAAGTTGGATGGACAGGGTCTACAGATCTAGTCTCCTTCAAGCTGGTCCTTGCTCTCTAGGTTTCTGTCTTCCTCTGTGACTTGAAACAGTACTGTCCTTGTCTTTTTTTCTCCACTCAGCAATAAATAAAAGTTGAAAATAAAGTAAATTTTACAAATTTCAAAGGGTTTTTTTTTTAATTGATGGCAGTTTGACTGAAATAATAGGTATGAGGTATAGGTGTCATAGTTAATAAGGTTCTTTCTCACCCTAGTCTTTACGGAGTAACATTCCCAAAACAATCCTTGGGCAGTTCCCTTAACTGCTTGGCTTTGGCACCCATTTCTGAAGAGAGTGGGGTCAGTTAACTCTTAACCCTGCTCCCCAAGAAAGGTGGAAGTTCAAGTTAATTGGCTTATGTCAATTGGAGCAACGTAACTATTATACCAGGTATATTCAGTTCCTGCCCTTACCTATGTTTTCTTATCTTGGAAGGGGATTGCTTTCCCTCACCATTTATCTCACCACAGCATATTTGTTTTTAAAGTTGCCCAGAAAGTATACAAATTAAACTTTTGACATCTACGTGTAGGAATCCCGTTCTGCTTCCAGAAGTGGAAGTGCTCATGGATCTGGGAAATCTGCAAGGCATACCCCTGCAAGGTCTCGCTCCAAGGAAGATTCCAGGCGTTCCAGATCAAAGTCCAGGTCCAGATCTGAATCTAGGTAAGAAAGACTGTCTTGGGATTTTCTTGTTACTCTTAGCTTTCAAACTGGTGTGTGCTTTTGTAAACTAGGAAGATAGAGAGGGTTAGATCATTTGTTGGCTTATTTAATATTGGTATTAGAAATGAACTTAATTGTTAAGTTCTGGGAGATAGAAGACTAAGTGGCTAAGAGCCTGGGCTTTTGGTGTTAGGGTTCATATCTTACCTCTGTTTTTTTTCTGGCTTGGGCAGATTACTTAACCTTTTCAATCTTAACTTCCTTATCTATAAAAGATGAATTATCAATAGTACCAGTTCTTCAGAATTGTTGTGAGGATTCACTGAGTTTACGTGAACTGCTTATTAGTATGGCAAAAAAAAAAAGAGTGCAGAGCATTGGCTTTTAGTAACTGCAATTCTTGATAGTAGTCTAATATGACAGATGTACTATAAAACAAAAAACCTTAACACAGCACTTTTTTTTTTTTTTTTTTTTAATGTTCAAGTGTAGGCTATATATATATATCCTGGTTTGCCCAGGTCAGCCCCAGCTTAATGCCTATTGTCAGGCATAATTAACAGTGCCCCTTTTCTCTCTTACACTATTCTTCCTGGTTTAAATGACAGTTCATATGATCACTGCAGTTAAGAGCAACTGGTTGATTTTAAAACACTGCTGGAGAATACTGCTTGTAATGGTGATGTTATCATAAGTGAATAATGGACATAATGCAAGAAGATTAAAGGATGGTATTGTGAAGGGTAAAGGTGGGCACAAATCAGGCTAGTATGAAATGTTGCATGTTTTATGATTTTTTAATAGATACTGTGTTGTTTAATCTCTTAATTATTTAAGAGATGATGGAAGGGAGCTTTAGTTAGTGATGGTTTTGGAACTCTTCCTAGCACAGAAATGACAATATGCAAAAGAAAAGTATTGATCCCCCTATATACCTGGATTGTGTGTTTTACCTTTTGAAGCTTTACCTTTTAGAATAAAGTGTTGAAAGAATTAAAAGCCATATCCTATTGTCAGCTATTTAGTCATAACCTTGAAGCCTTTGTCTTTCAGGTCTAGATCCAGAAGAAGTTCTCGGAGGCATTATACAAGGTCACGATCTCGGTCCCGGTCCCATAGACGATCTCGTAGCAGATCTTACAGCAGAGATTATCGAAGACGGCATAGCCACAGTCATTCTCCCATGTCTACTCGCCGGCGTCATGTTGGGAATCGGGTAAGATGAAAACAATTGTTTCTGAAGCAGTGAACATTGTAGGAAGCCACTTTATAATTAATGTATAATATATTCCCCTCTGTTTTTAGTGTTTTCTTCTGTAATAATTTTAAACTGATATTTCTGATGGTGGAGCTTTAGCATGATTTCTCTCTAGATCCTTTTCGGCGTTTGGAGGTGTTTTTTTTTCCATTTTAAAAGATAGCTCCCATATATGGTCTACATTTGAGCTGTTGATCATATTTAAGATATTGTCACATTAACAGCACATCAAGTAAAAATTCTCTGCATTACGGTTAATATAGTTAGATCATGTATCTATGTTCCACACTATTGTTAGTTTTCTGGGTTTAATACGCTTTAAAATATGCTCTAATTTTCCCATTTAATTTTAAGCAAGTTTCTTTCCAGTTTTAAAGCTTTGCTTGTCTTCCATGAGAAGTTATGAATGAGATGGCATTTAGTGTGTTCCTGTTGTGGTTTTTATTGAATAATATACAAGTAGGTCTATAGGGAGTGTATGTTTTTGAAAGTGGGGTGGAATTTGACTGTAGTAAACGTATGTGCGAAATAGTGAAACCTTTACGCAAACTCATGGCAACTGGGATGTCAGCAACATTTAGTTCACTATTTATCTTCATTATAATAATTGAAGCTGCTTAATATCTGATTGTTAAGTTTGGTACACATCTGTGGTTTCACTTGTATGTATATTTGAACACTTAACGATTTTTCTGTAGAAATCAAGCTGAACATACCTTCTGTATCTCTTTGGCAGGTTAGAGCCTTCTATTGTGTGAGTGGTATATGTTAGTTAATTCACCACTTTGAAGTTTAGACACAGTTCTCTGTGAATACATGCTTGTGGTGCTGACGTAACATTACTTTTAAAATTCTGTTCTATTTCATTGTTATCTTTTCATATTAGTGACAGTTTTGGGGGGGGTTGATATGTGATGCTTTTTTTTTTAATTTTTATTTTTTATGTGATGCTTTTTAAAAGTTTTTTTTTTTTTTTTAATCCATTTTTCTATTTCTAGGCAAATCCTGATCCCAACTGTTGTCTTGGAGTATTTGGATTGAGCTTGTACACTACAGAAAGAGATCTAAGAGAAGTGTTTTCTAAGTATGGTCCAATTGCTGATGTATCTATTGTATATGACCAGCAATCTAGACGTTCAAGAGGATTTGCCTTTGTATACTTTGAAAATGTAGATGATGCCAAGGAAGTAAGTAAAAGTCTTGTACCTTAGTTTAAAAAAAAAAAAAGTATATACACACGCTTTCACTTTTACACACACACAGAGTCTTATTTTTAACTATTCTTCCTTGGATGACTTTTGCTTTTAGTAAGTTGATCAGTCGTGTCAGACTCTTTGCAACCCCATGGACTATGCAGTCCATGGAATTTTCCAGACCAGAATATTGAAGTGAGTAGCTGTTCCCTTCTCCAGGGGACCCAGGAATCGAACTGGGGTCTCCTGCATTGCAGATGGATTCTTGACCAGCTGGGGAGCTACCAGGGAAGCCCTTTTAGTATCTGTGTAGCTTGATCTAAAGGAAATGCCTTCTGGGAATATATAAGTAAAGTCCATAATTGGAACTTTAAATTTCAAAGATTTGTAGCTTAACAGAAAAGTGACAGTTTGGTTCTAAATTCCAACTCAGTCTCTTCCACCATTTTATTTGAAGTAAATTCAAACACAGCTGTTTCCCGATGTGTGCCTAGATACAGATTTTCTAAAATAGAAGAATATTAATACTCCAGTTTGGGATATTTAATGAGTGTTTACATCAGATTACTTTAAAATGAAAGAAAACATGGAAAAGTGATAAAGCTATGACTCAGGAGAAAGGAACTGGTTTTGAATGTTTACTGGCAAGTGATTTTATGTTTTGGATGTTGAGGTAAAACATAGGAAGTAACTTTTTTTGGCCTTGAGGCTTATGGGATCTTAGTTTCCCAACCAGGGATTGAACCTGGGCCACGGGAGTGAAAGCACCAAGTCCTAAAACATTGGACCACCAGGGACCTCCCTAAAATTTTTTTTTTTTTTACAGAAACTAAAGTAAAAATTCGATGTGTGACTCCTGGCCCATTGAAGAAATTTGAACTTAAGATACATGGGGATGATAGTTCAAGGACAGTATAAGGAGGGGAGAATCTTGAGAAACTAGTGGCAAGTCATCTGAGGTTAATACTGAGATTAATAATTTTGAGCTCTAAATAAAATTAAATGAATAGAGTAGGCCCATCTACTAAAGGAAGAATTAAAAGCTGAATGCAAGTGGTTATAATTTAAGAGATTTAAGGAATGCTTTAAGATGTCATTCAACTTCATTTTGGTAATAATTGATGTGAAAAATGTAAATAATATTTGTCCAAGCTTACTTATGGGATCGGCTTCTTGGTTTCTCTACTTTCTGTGTGTGTGTGCGCGCGCTACAGAACCATATTTCCCTTTTTGAAAGATTTTGTATCTAAATCAGTAATGCCAGAAACTGCCTTGAGGCTTAAAACAGTCAAACTAGAAAATGGCATAATTGGAATTAGTAATCTAAATTCTATTTAGAGAGAGAGGTGCTTCTTTAAATTGTGAATAAACCGCTATGTCTTTCGGATGGGGTATTTTTTTTTTTCTTAAAGTACAGTATTTTCATTTTAATGTTTTAGATGAAGGAACTATGCGTAATTCAAGCTTTCATCCCAGTTCTTTGCTTCCATAGCAGGGGTCCTCAAATTTGTGTAAAGGATTAGACACAAAATGGCTTTGGGAGCCGAAAGAGCTCAATGACAGCTTTTCAACACTGCCATTGTAATGTAAAAGCCATATAAAATGCAAGTTAGTAAGTGGGATTTTGTTTCAGTAAAACATGGTCACTTAATTTTGAATTTCATTTCTGATGAAATAATACTTTGACCCCCAACACCTGTTTAAATTCTTAGCTCATGGGTCATAGTTTGCCAACTGTGTACTATTTTATAGACCTACAGGTACTCTCAAATCTATAGTTGATACATATTTCATGGCTTAAGTCGGCTCTCATGGGTGGCTTTTTTTTTTTTTTTAATGAACTTTTCTAGGTTAGCTTTTGTAAGTAAAGATTTGATAGGCAGAAAAACCTATTAATAAACTGTCAGATGTAATTCCCTGGCTAACTGGAACATCTAGTTGGGTTTTATTTATAGATAATAGTTAATTTGGGGCTTTGTTCATGATGTATATAACAACTCACATATCTTTTGAAGGCAAAAGAGCGTGCCAATGGAATGGAGCTTGATGGACGTAGGATCAGAGTTGACTTCTCCATAACGAAAAGACCACATACCCCAACACCAGGAATTTACATGGGGAGACCTACCTAGTAAGTTTGTTTTCAAGGTTGTTAAAATATTGACAGTTCACTTTAGGGCACTGGGAGGCTTTTGACATTTCCAACTGACTGAAACTTAAATTCAGTATAAATAAATTCAGTAGAAACATTCGGTTGGTACCATAAATTCTGATGTCATGTAATAGATCACATCCTACTTTAAGAAATGCCATATATTTGACATTGCTGGGTAATTAAATGATTCTCTCCAGACCAGTTTTCCCACACTGGGAACTATTAAGTATTAATGTAGGTAAAACCAAGTTTGTATAAATCTTATTCACAGTGGCAGCTCACGCCGTCGAGATTACTATGACAGAGGATATGATCGAGGCTATGATGATCGGGACTATTACAGTAGATCCTACAGGTATGTTAACCAAAATACAAAGTTTTGAGTTGTTGAAAGACAAATCAGCTCTTCTGGTTCAGTTGCAACATAAAGCAGCACAGTTTTAGCCTTTGATAAAGGTATTTACCTTTACTATTAAATTAGAAATCACCAGAGTTTAAACTGGACTCTCTTTTGGCTGCAGCTCAAGGCATGCATGCTAAGATGCTTCAGTTGTTTCCAACTCTGTGCAACCCTATGGACTGTAGCCTGCCAGGCTCCTCTGTTCTTGAGATTCTCCAGGCAAGAATACTGAAATAGGTTGCCATGCTCTCCTCTGGGGGGCAACTCACAGCATGTGGATCTTAAATTCCCCAATTAGGGACCAAACCTGTGCCCCCTACAATGGAGTCTTAAACCACTAGACCACCAGGGAAGTCTCTGGATTTTATGGTTATACTTTTTTTTTTTTTGGTATGTGTATTTTTTATAAGCACCAAGTTGTCAACCAATGGGACAATAAAATTATAGACCATACTTCAGTCCCCTCCCCCATGAACTGATTTTAAATATTGCTTTATAAAGCAATTTTTTGGTAGCTGAGGAATTGTGCTGAAGGACAAGGAAAATTGATTATTGGAAAAATCTAAAGAAGTAACTATAAGTTTGCTATAACAATGGTAAGAGGTTTATTATTAATACTAACAATATTGATACATTTTTCAGGGGTTGATAGGGAAATGCTCATGATACTAGGAATACTTTGGGAAGTAAAAATGAAGTAAAGTTCTCTATTTAAGCAATAGCAGGTAATTTAGATCTTGCGTTGTTTGTCAAAATGTAAACTGTGTAGTAAATATACTGACCATAACAGTTAATCCATGATACCCTATTTTGGTGTGGTGGTGAGTGGACTTTTTTGCACACTATTCTGTAATTTTTAGAAGTTGACAGTCCTGACATTTAGCACTGACAAACTTTCTTAAGTGGCATTTTTGTACTGACATGTAAGGGATTGATTTGTGGAGGCTGCAAAGATTAGTCTTAAGAGTGCTTACTCTATGATGCTCATTTTAACCACCAGGGAGAGCTCTGTCAGTTTGTAAAGGGGTGGCAAAAGCAACTCTTCATTGCTTAAAGGAAACTAGTTTTCACTTATGTTTTAATTTTATTGCATGAATTGTGCATTTTGAAAACTTAAAATGTTTGTTTTCTGCCTTCACAGAGGTGGAGGTGGAGGAGGAGGAGGTTGGAGAGCTGCTCAAGACAGGGATCAGATATACAGGTATGGCCAGGAAAAGATTTAAATCTGTACAATAGTAGAATGGCTCACATAAAGACATTTGTTATTCATATTTTGATAAATTATAAATGGCATTCACAAAATTTTATAACAAGTTTATAAAAATACTGTAACTGAAGTCAAATGACAATGTACATGGCTTAATTTATGTTTAACATGAGAGATGATGGCATAAACTAAGAATCCATAATATTTTAATCTTATTTATCCCTAATGGTTTCATTAGCTTTTTATAAATATTTCAGAATTAGCAAATAATTACTCAAGTTTATCTTAACAAAAAACTAAATCACTGAAGCACTATGGATGAAATTTTGGGTATTCATTCATAGGGTGTGGTTAAAATTAGTGGTAATGATTTTTTTCTTCTCTAACCCAGTTTAAATTTGTTAGGTGTAATGTTAACTAGCAGATGATCAGTGGGTCAGATAGAGCAAGGAATATTCAACCTCTTTGATAGAGGAGTTTTTTTGGTACTGATAATGTGCTTCATTCTCAGGACTAAAAACAGACCTCACTGTTATTGGTCAGCTGAGAGTCTTTTAGTTTTGGAAACTGATAAAGGAATCAGTCACTTTAATATGTGATCTATGGAGTCTTAACATGGTCTTGATACTTGTTTACAGAAGACGGTCACCTTCTCCCTACTATAGTCGTGGAGGATACAGATCACGTTCCAGATCTCGATCATACTCACCTCGTAAGTTTTTATTTTGATATAATTTTGATATAATAGTGTGGCTTGCTATGACTTATGGAAACCACAGCAGATAATGGGTTGATTCAGTTAGTATTTCCTCAATTTTTCTGTAGGGTTCAAGGAAGTATGTGAAAGCAACCCTTGGATCTTAGTCTTGTAGCTAATTAAAATAGTGCATGTGTATTCTCTCACCATTTGTAGCTTTTCTTTTTAGGAATTAAAATTTTTTTAAAGTTTAGAAACATTTTTGAGTGATTTAAAAACCTTAGCTTTCAGATTGAGTTAGATAAAACTCCCAGCTATTTCTGTTTAACATTGGTTCTGCACTATGTGAAGGTTTTCACAACAGAATCGGGTACATAGGAATTTCCTGGTGACAGAAACGTTTAAAATTCCCAACATTAAATGTATGCACTTGAGTATTGAAGTGTATTTGTTTTTTTCCTAGGTCGCTATTAAAGCATGAAGTTGAAGACTTTCTGAAACCTGCCCTAGAGTTGGGATATTGTTTGTGGACAATATTTTTTATTGTCTCCTGTTTAAAAAGTGAACAGTGCCTAGTGAAGTTAGGTGACTTTTACACCTTTTATGATGACTACTTTTGGTGGAGTTGAAATGCTGTTTTCATTCTGCATTTGTGTAGTTCGGTGCTTTGTTCAAAGTTAAGTGTTTTCAGAAAAGTATGTTTTGCATGTATTTTTTTACAGTCTAAAATTTTGACTGCTGAGAAGTTTCTATTGTACAGAACTTCATTTAAATGGTTTTTCTACTGAATCCAGGGTATTCTGAAGATCGAAGCCTGTGTGTAAAATGCTACCAAATGGCAAAAAGCAACAATAAAGTTTGGTTTTTACTTTTCTTTCTAACATATCAATGCTTAGCAGAACTGTTCAGATTAGATTGTCAGTAGTAAATTAAAGACAAAAATGCCCGTTTTCCTCCAATCCATGAAACATACCATACTTAATATACCTGCAATTAAGTGATAAAAATTACGCTCTGTAACTCTATACTGCTAGTGTTAAAAACTAAAGATCTTTCAATACAGCAAATGCTTACTGCTTATATAATGTGAATTTGTCAGCCTTTATGTAATCTGTATTATATATAGCAGGGAATAAGATGAGTTACACAATGTATGCCTTAAAAAGGCTATTTCTTAAAGCTGTTACAAGGGGATGGTATTTCAGTTATCAGCAGTGACAATACATTCCACCACAAATGTACTCTTGTTCTTCTAGCTTTTAAGACTATATGGAAAAACTGGGTGCTTCAGAGTTTTTGAGAAAAAAAGAAGGGAACACTACACCTGTGTTGTGGATGATCTGAAGACTTTGCCTGTTCATTTTTTAAATATTACTTTCAGGTCCTTTGCTTACCAAAGGAGGCCCAATTTCACTCAAATGTTTTGAGAACTGTGTTTAAATAAATGCAAATGAAAAGAGTAAAAAGGCTGGTAAAACTCAGTTTATAGAGATTTTGTTTTAACCTTGCTACATAGAGTTCTTTTATAGTTTGTAGTCCCTTATACAGTATTCCTTGGACTAAGATGTATTCTTTCTGTTGTTAAAATTGTTTTAAATAGGTAAATTTTGTACTCCTGGAAAATACATTTAAAGTAAGTAACCAGGTATTGGAATGAATATCTACACTTGGGGATGGTATTATATTAAAATATTCTCCACACTTGCCCTGAAGGTGCCTGAAATGAACATTTTTCTAGGATATTTTCATGGTCAATTCTAGGCAGGTAAATAAGTTGGTTAGCCTGCTGACCCTTGTATTATTACTTACATACAAATACTCTGTCCTGTGTACTTGAAGGGCATGGCAACCCACTGCAGTATTCTTGCCTGGAGAATGCCATGTATAGAGGAGCTTGGAAGACTACAGTCCATGGGGTAGCAAAGAGACATGACTGAAGCAACTGAGCACAATACCCTTAGCTGCATCAATCATAATGATGTAGTAATTTACCTTAGGTCAAAAAGCAATTAAAATACCAATGCCAGGATCTGAACTTAACCATCTGAACTTAATCTGTAGTCTGTGCTGTTAATCACGATATCATTTAATCTAGGTATCCAACTGAGACCTAGACATGATGGACTGCAGCAATCCAGACTTCTCTGTCCTCAACTATCTCTGGAGTTTGCTCAAATGCATGTCCCTTGAGAGCCCCCCTGTCCTTTTGTCTTCAGTCTTTACCATCAACAAGGCCTTTCCCAGTGAGCTGGTTCTTAGCATCAGGTGGTCCAAGTACTGGGATCAGCATCAGTCCTTCCGTTAAATATTGAGGCTTCCCTGGTGGCTCAGTGGTAAAGAATCTTCCAATGCAGTTTCAATCCCTGGGTTGGGAGGATCCCTTGGAGAAGGAAGTGGCAATCCACTCCAGTATTCTTGCCTGGAGAATCCCATGGACAGAGGAGCCTAGCAGGCCCCAGTCCATGGGGTTGCAAAAGAGTTGGACACGGTTTAGCGACTCCGTGATACATGAGACACCTTAAAGCCCAAATTCTTTAGCCATTCTTTGCATTGAGAGTATTTCAGCAAAAAGTGCTTGCACAACACTAATCAATAACCCTTAACCCCAAGAAGCAGGGGCAGTAGCAAATTGAATTAGAGTGGGTAGGTGATAGAGAGTGCCTTAAAGATGTCAGCAATATGTGAAATGGGTGCAGGGGTGGACCTGAGGAGTGGAGAGGTTCTGTCTCTAGCTGAGATTCCTTGTCTAGTGTTGACAGCAGTGGGATAGGCTGTGGTGTCCAGGGTTTGGCAGTGGTGATCACCTCACTGAACTGACTTCCTGGTGTGGCTTTGGCTGTTAAACTTCCTTCGTAGCCCGGTTCTTTCCTCCTGCAGTTTACAAACTTCAAGTATTCTTAAAAACGGACCATCCAAAAGTGTCTATCTGCTTGTCATCTGGCATTTTTTGTTTACAGTCAAAAGTCTTGACAAACACTCCTTGTCATCCGTGATGCCTAATTGGTAGCCATCTATCTGATAATCGTTTAAAAAAAAAAACTCTCTGCTTCAGTCTAAATGTGCTATTTGAATTTAAAAGTTATCAAATGATTTTTGGTTTTTAGTTCAGCACATAAGAGCTTGGAAGTCACCTTTCCATCCTAACAAGTAAAAAGCTAAACAAAAAGTCAACAGCTGTTTTTAGATTCATAAGAGAGGTAAGATCATGGGGCAAACTGCTGCCTCCCAAACTGGAGACAAGCAAATAAAATCTCAACATACTGGAGGCAGAAACCCACAAGTAGAAATCTGGAAAGAAAAAAAAAAAAAAATACTATGGCCATAAGGGAATTCTCAGTTCTGTGAGCTTTGCCAGCTCAACTAATTTTTCGGTGAATGTTCGGAAGTCCTCTTGTGCTGTCAGAGGGGGAGGAAAAGGAACCACCATGAGATTCCACCAGAGCTTCTGTACCTCTTAAGATCTGGTCCCAAGAGAAACTAACCAGAGCCCAACATGCTGGGGTTTTATCAGAGCCTCACTGACCTGGAACAGGGAGATACTCGACTCTAGCTCACTCGCCATCCTGTCCCACCTAAAGGGTAGGAGTTGGAGGAGGCGGATGTCCAGAAGCACTTTAAAAAGTTTACAGACAGAGGCACAAGCACAAAAAGATATCAATCATAAGAGTATAAACCTTACCCATACGTTATGCACACATTTTTTGAGTGTATTATGTCCAGCTAACACCAAAAAAAATTTAGAAGGCATATTAAAAGCAAAATTGACGGTTTGGAGAGAGTAAGCATTAGAACCAGACAGGGATATGACAGGGATGCTGGAATTAGACTGGGAATTTAACTCTGATTAGCATGCAGAGAACTGGGATGGATAAAGTAAACAGCATGCAGGAACAGATGGGCAATGCAAGCAGAGACATGGAAATTCTAAGAAATCAAAAAAATGCTAGAGATAAAAAACAAGAATGCCCCTACCAGTCTTATTAACAGGACATAGCTGAGCTTAAGGAATTCATAGAAACTGCCAACCTAGAAAAAAAAACTAATTGCAAAAGGTATGGCTCATATGTCATGGCAGTACTAAATGGAGAAGAGAAGAAATATTTGAAACAGTAATGACAGAGAATTTCCCCCATGTTAATGTCTGACTTACAGACTGCTGTGACTGAATGTATGTGTGCTTTCAGTAAATTGAAGCTTAATCCCTGATGTCATGTTACTTGACATGTTAGGCCTTTGGGAGGTAATTAGGTCATCATAATGGGGCCTTCATAAATGGGATTAGAGTCCTATAAAATAGACACCAGAGAGCTCCCTTGCTCTGCACCATGTGAGCACACAGTAAAAAGATGACTATGAATCAGGAAGTAGATCCTCATCAGACACTGAGTCTGCCAGTGTCTCCATCTTGAATTTCCCAACCTCCAGAATTGTGAGAAATAAATTTCTGTTGTTTATAAGCCACCCAGTTTATGATACTCTGGTTAGAACAGGCTGAATGCCAGACCACAGATCCAAGAAACTCAACAACAAATGGTAACTGCCCCAACCACACCAAGGCATGTCATTTTCAAAGCACAGATAACTGAAGATTAAAAATCCAGGAAGAAGCCAGAGGAAAAATACATCTTATAAAGGAGCACAGGTAAGAATTAATCTGACGTCTCACAAACCATGAAAGCAAGAAGAGAGTGGTGTAACATTTAAGATGTTGAGAGAATCACCCCCCCCGCCCCGTTAGAATTCTCTGCCTCATGAAATTATCTTGCAAAAGTGAACACTAAAGACTCTAGACATCAAAATAGAGCGAATTTGTTGCTAGTACACCTGCCTAGCAAGATAAGCTCCAGAGAGAAAAGGAAAATAATCTAGATAGAAACGCATTACATAAAGGAAAAGCATCAAAGGATTAAGGAAAGGTGAAGTTTCTTTTACTGTGACTGAACTGAACGTTTTGTTGAAAATAATAGCAACAGTACAATTTGATTAACAGTGTGATTATGTATGCTTATATGTGTCATATATTTACATATGCTTATAAAAATGGAATGACAGGAATGATGATAAGCAGTTCTAGAGAGGAATTAGAATCACTATTAAAAAGTGTTCACAGTACTGGTGAAGCAGTAGTGTTACTTTCAAGTGTACTTAAATTGGTTGTATATTGCAAACAAGGATAACTTTTTTAAAACAAATGAAGTATAACATGCTAAGAAAGGAAAGAAAATACAAATTAAATATCAAAGCCACAAAAAGCAGAACAAAAATAAGAACAAAGACCAAGTACAACAAAAAATAGTAACAAATATGGAAGATATTAATTGAACTATATCAGTTGTGTCTCTTTGTGACCCCATGGACTATGACCCACCAGGCTCCTCTGTCTTTGAGATTCTCCAGGCAAGAATACTGGAGTGGGTTACTGTGCCCTCCTCCAGGGGATCTTCCCCACCCAGGGATCGATTTCTATGATCCCACATGCCGTATCTTCCGTGACTTCTGCACTGGAGGTGGATTCTTTACAGCTGAGCCACCAGGGAAGCCCAGTGGTACGAATACACACATTAAAAGACAGAAAAGGTCAAAGTGGATCACAAAACAACCCAAGTATTGTCTGCCCTAAACCCATATATAGATTAAATGAATGGGGTCTTCCCTGGTGGTTTAGTGGCTAGGCCTCTGAGCTCCCAATGTGGTAGGCCCAGGTTCAGTCCCTGGTGAGGGAATTGGATCCCACAAGCTGCAACTAAAAAGAGTTAACATACCACAATGAAGATCTAAGATCCAGCACAAATACAAAAAAAAATAAAGATATACCGTGCTAATACTAATGGAAAGGAAGCAGGAGTACTCTATTAAATCATTTCAGACAGAGCAGACTTCAGAGCAAGGAAAATTACCAGGCTTAAACAGAGGCAATGCATAATGATAAAAGGGTCAGTTCTTCAAGAAGAAGAGAATTTGCACCTAACAACAGAGCACTGAAATATGTGTAGCACAAACCTAACTGCCAGAAGAAACAGATAAATGCACTAGTTTGGATAGAGACTTCAACTCCGCTTTCAGAAATGAACAAAATCCAGCAGGCAGAAAATAAGGACAACTGAACTCAACAGCACCAACAATCAACTGGATATAATGGACATCTATAGATTAATTCATACAAACATCAGAATATACATTTTTCTCAAGTTCACCTAGAAAGATACATTCTGGGCCATAAATTAAAACTAATTTTAAAGAGTCCAATTCTTTGCCGCCCCATGGACTGTAGCCAACCAGACTCCTCCATCCATGGGGGTTCTCCAGGCAAGAAGATCGTTGCCATGATCTTCTCCAGGGGATCTTCCCAACCCAGGGATCAAACCCAAGTCTCCTGCACTATAGGCAGATTCTTTGCCTTCTGAGCCACCAGGGAAGCAAATTTTTAAAAAACAAACCATCCAAGGCCTGCTCTCAGACCAAAATGGAATTAAACTAGAAATAAATAACAGCCTGCAGAAATTTGCTCTATGATGCATGGAGCTCAAATCAGGTGCTCTGTGAAAACCTAGAGCAGTGGGAGATGGAAAAGTTCAAGAGGGAGGGGACATATGTATACCTTTGGCTGATTAATGTTGATACATAGCAGGAACCAACATAAT